GGTCTATTGCTTAATCCAATCAAATTAATGAAATGATCAATGCTATTTAGTGAAGACTTAGTAATGATCGACAATTGAGTCATGTGTTCGAGTCAATGATTATATTGTGTGTGTATTGAATGCTTGTTAGTATCATGCTAAGGCTCTTTACTATACTTCGTAGCTTGTATGTACTCAGCGTTGCTGATTGCGTGCTTTTGTGTGTTTTCTTTGGTCATGGCGTTCGCCTTCAATGACCCTGTAATGATCCAATCCTTACACTTGTAATATTGGGGAGCAGATTCATCACAGGTTTTTGCATAAACTGAAATTACATCAGGGTGATGGGATTTGAGTGGAGCGTTGGTTAATTACTTAGCTTATTTCACTTCATAGACTGAGTTTATTTTGACTATAATTTTACTTACTTCCTATTTTATTTGGATTTTGAATAAGGGCCTTTATGGTTCCAACTTGTAAGTCTAAAGCCTGATTTTGGTTTTTAGTTTCAAAACTCATATCCTTTTCTTTTAAAAACTAAGTTAGTCTTCCGCTGCTGATTTCTGAAACTAGCCTTAACGTTTGAACACGTGGCGGTAGCACTCCAATAATTCTCTTACAGGTTATACAGGTTTTACAGGTTATTACAGGTTTTTACAGGTTTTCTTTTAGAGAGAATTATTGGGGTGTTACACCTAGGACCTGCAAGGGAGGTTTAACCAGTAAAAAGGCAGCACAACAGACTGCATCAGTGCTTGATGCTTCACAGCTGCAGAGTCAGCCCCCTCTTAGCCAGTCACAATCCCAAAATTAGAGAGCTTTGCATGTTCTTGCTTAGAGTTGCTTAGATTTTTGTGTATTGAAACTTTGTGTTGGTTTATGTCTCTAGTAGCTTTTGATAATCTAGTTTTAATTTCAGCATTTTGAATTATGTTGTTGACAATTAATTTGGTACTCTAAGCTTTTGAATTATGCAATGAATGGCAAATGCATTTTCTTTTGGTCAATATTTGTGTATTGAATTATGCATTTTGATTTTTCAACAATTGTTCTACTTTAAATAAGAAGTTCAGCAGCAATATTTCCATAAAAATAACATACTTTGCTTTATTCATATCAAATAGCAGATTACAGCAGCATTACATTATTTCAAAGCTACCAATAATAACACTAAATACATAACAACACCAATTTTGACCACCAAATGAACAAAGTCAGCAAATGCATCTGTTTTGTGCATAAACTCATTGAATTCTCTCCTCAAAAGTTGAACACTTGTAGCTTCAGGTGTATTACCCACCTACCTGCTGTGTCACACACAATCTGCTCCTCCTTAACCCACATGAAAAATTCACACAACCTGCACTTGTAGTAGGGCCTTCCTGGGTTTGAAACAGAGTTTGAGAATCGAATATCAGCTGATCTTGAGGGGTAACAGTTGCAATTAACTAATTTGAACCATAAACTCCTTCCATTCCTGTTGCTTGAAGAACCCATGCCAGAGGAAGACATTGAGAAGCAAAAATTAAAAAAGGGAAATTCGAGAAGAAGAAGAACCATAAGCTGCAAATGAGTGGGTAGGTTAGTTTAAATAGAAGGAGGGAAAGTAAAGAAGGAAAAAAGGAGGGAAACTAAAGAGGGAAAAAAAAGGAGGGAGTTTTTTAAGTTAAAAAAACGTAAAAAAAAAAAAAGGGAAATTATCAATAGTACACCCAAGGTTTGAGCCTTTATCAATAGTACACCTGCTAAACTATTGTTTATCAGTGGTAAATTCAAGGTTTTATACCATTATCAGCCGTACACCTATCGTTAGACAAACGTTAAAAAAACGTTAGTTTTGGCTTTTTAAACTTAAAAACTGACACGTGGCGGCCTATGATTGGTCCAAGAAAATAAAAATAAAATAAAATTTTAAAAAAAGTTAGATTAATAAAATAAGATAATTTTTTTTTAATTTTGATAATTTTTTTAAACAACATTATTTTATTTTTTTTCCTTTTTTTTCCTACCTCCTTCCTTTCTCTTTCCTCCATCCTTCCTCCTCCTCCATAACTTCCAGTAGCCAACCAGACATCCCACCCCCCTCTGACCACCCTTCCCCTTCTCTTTCCTCCTTCCTTTCTCTTTCCTCTTCCCTTCCACCACCATAAATTCCTGCTACAAGTAACCAAATCCGGCGCGAAGTGTGGATTGAACGGTGATGGTGGGTGGCGAATTGTGGTGGCGCGAAGTGGAGATTGGGTGCAGGGGATTTGGTGTTGCTATTGGGTATGTTATTTGTGGTCAAAAGTGGTCGGACGGTGGACAACTTCTACAATTGTCGGCCACTGATGGTGGGTGTTGAAATAGAGCAGCGGTGATAAGGGCGGCTGCTTAGGGTGGCTGCTGGGTTCGTGAATTGGTGGAGGGTGGTGGTGTTGTTTGTTTTGTGGGGGGAGTCAGGTGGTTTCGAGGATGGTGGCTACGAGAAAGGGGAGGGGCGGCAAGGTGGTTGTTGGGGAAGGGGGCGGCAGCCGGCGAGGAGGGTTTGGCTAGCAAGCACCGGGGGCAAGGGGGTTGGGATGTCTCGGTGGGCTGCCGGAAAATATATATATATATGTTGTTTAAAAAAATTATTCAAAATTATCTTATTTTATTAATCTAACTTTTTTAAAAATTTTATTTTATTTTATTTTATTTTATTTTTATTTTTTTGGACCAATCATAGGGCGCCACGTGTCAGTTAGTTAAAAAAGCCAAAACTAACGTTTTTTTAACGTTTGTCTTACGGTAGGTGTACGGCTGATAATGGTATAAAACCTTGAATGTACCGCTGATAAACAATAGTTTAGCAGGAGTACTATTGATAAAGGCCCAAACCTTGGGTGTACTATTGATAATTTCTAACGTTTTTTTAACAGAATATGGACGGTAGGTGTACGGCTGATACTGATATGAAACCTTGGGTGTACCCCTGATAAACATTAAGTAGGTGTATCATTGATAAAGTCTCAAACCTTGGGTGTGCTATTGATAATTTCCCTTTTTTTTGTGTTAATAGTTGATTTTATAATAATATCATTCCAAATCTTATATATTATTTTTTTGACAAATATATATTCCTTTTTATTTGGTGTTCATAATTTTTCTATACACAATTACCTAAATAATTCTTTCAACTCCTTTTTAATCATCTTTTAAATGGAGTATAATTAGATTTTGCCAAAAAAATAATAATAAATTGATAGATGTTAAAGAAATTACTTTTTTTTTTTAACGGAAGAAATTACTTTAAAACATCACTTAAATTTTTTAATTTTTTTTTTCAAATACCTCTAGCTAATATTTTATTTCAATTTCAATTCAATATAACTATATATTAATTTTGTTTCTGAAATTTTACTACTATACGTATATATTATAAATCACAAATTATGGATTTATAGAGTATAGTATAACTATAAAATAAATGTTGTGTTTGACAATTATATCTTATATTATGTCTAATTATAGGGAAAGGTAAAATATCAATTAATTTTTTTTGTAAATTATGTAATTAAAAAAATCAATATCTTAGTAAAAGCAAAAAAAAAAAAAATAAAAAAAAAAAAAATAATTATTATCTTTTGCCAAGACACTTGATTGAGATGATAAATTTATTACATCCACATTCATAAATAATCTACATACTGAAAGACGACACGCCAGACGTAGTGACAATTGACATCTCCTTTTATAGTATATATATATATATATATATATATATATATATATATATATATATATATATATATATATATATATATAGTTAAACTTTTAAGACAATAAACAAAAATGATTAAATTACAACAAAGAATGACAATATCGTATATGTAGAGCATCAATCCATAAAAAGAAAATGTAATAATATAGATTAGTGTTGCCCAATTATTGATTGTTCTTGCCCTTAATGATCAGAGTGATATTTATTTCCATTGAAATGATTTTTTAGATATAAAAGGTGATATACTATTTTTAGTTAATATATTTGTGTGTATGTTGTGCACTTTTGCTAATAGTTTTAGCGGAGATTATAGTCTGTTGTAATTGATGTTTATTAAAAATGCATTTATAAATAAGTATTTACTAATATGGCCACTAAACCTGATCAAACCAAGCCTCGCCTGAAAAAATTATCGGGTTTGGGCAGCCTAAAAAATCAATATATTATTGTTTAATTTTTTGCATTGCCTATTAATATAGATTATGACATTATAATTTCTATATATTTGATGTGTATGTTTTATCAAATTTTATTTGTTGGATATAATTAATTTTCTTAAAATGAATTAGACTTACTGTGCATGGCACGGGCCTTAAGCTAGTACTTAAATAATACTTTCTCCGTTCTAATATTGCAACATGGGTTGGGCATGAATTGTAAGAAAATGAGAGATATAGAAAGGAATAAAGACAAGGACCCTTGTGATGAAAAAAAAAAGAGAGAGAAAAAGCATGTACTCGTACATATAAGGAAATGTTGTAATATTTGTAAAACTTTCTAAAATGGTACTCTCTAGACATTAGACTTTTTTCACTATTTATGTATTAGCTTTGGTCATAATATTTTACTAACATATCAAAAACATACTTCATCATAAAATATGTTATTACATAGATATTATTATAAAGTTTCATAATATAATTTTTTAAATAATTTTCATTAATATTTAAATTTATAAAAATACAGTCAAATTAGTGTATTGACATATGGGCAAAGTTGACTGTGTCAGTCATTCTAGTCCAGAGTAATTATTGCAATATTAGGTGAACGGAGGAAGTAAAAATTAGAACATTATTTTTAATCGGAAGGTGTATTAATGGTTCAGATTGACTTTCCATCTCTTTAGTATGACCTAACTGAAATAGACTCAAATAACCGAAACTCAAATGAGATCCATAGAGGATCAAGTCATCAACGCACTAGAAAGTAGAAACTAATCTAAACAACCCATTTGGGTTCAATTATCCCTAAATTAAATGGAGTAATAAGTACAACCATATTCAAAACTTCAAAATTTTCAAGTCTCTTTGATTAAGCAACATTCATATCACGCCTGGCAATCGACAAACGGGAACATTGTGACAATAAAAAAGACAAAAGAGTAGAAATTAGATTTACTTTAAACAAGGTGTACAATAAGCCACGTCAAGATAATTTCATCCTCCACCTTGTACAATCTAAAAATATAGTCCAGATGAGGTTTATGCAGGGCCTCCTTATCTCGCGAAAATTTGAATACAACACAAATGCCATGATTTTCCCGTTATTCAGCATCAGAATAATGGAGATGAGAGGATTTTCAGGAATGAGGAATTGCCAACATCATTCATTTCGTGGAAATTGATACAAAAGCATAGACATCTTTACTGTTACAACATAGGAAACATATGCAGTAACACAGCTTTGAGAAATGAGAATTGACGTGTGCTGGTTAACATATGCAGGTATCACTGCTGTAAAGGCTCAACTGCTGTTCTAAAGAGGAGGACATAAACCTTGTCGATGGAAAAATACAAGAAACCTCCAAGTGAATGAGTGACATAAGAGCCGAAGCTTGTGCCCACTATACAATGCCATGCAGGCCCATATGCTGAATCAAATTCCTGAAATTTACATGCACAAAACTTACGATCAGTAGCTGTAATACTGTAAGGTACATTTGTGGAATAACATACAAACTTAGACTATACAAAAATGGAACATCTGTTAGGTATTAGGGTGTAAGTGGGGCAAGATGAAATGTGAATTCCCTAAAGCCTGTATCAATTAGGATTTAGGAAAGTTTACCCAAAAACAGGTAACAAACTTAACAAATTTTCACATCCCCTGCAAACATCATACCCCAATGTTTAAAAATCATCAACAAGAATCAATTTTGTTTTGAGTAGGTGACAAAGTGCTATGGGTAGCCCTTGGTGTAGACTGCATTAATGTTAAGTATTCAGGACATGTAGGTTTGTGAACTAAACACAAATCAATAACAAGGTTACATAATGCTATATTAAAGTGCTGAATACAATGTTCTGTGATTTAAAGCACCGATGTCAAAAAATACGATTAATGGATGCATTTTATATAAGCTATATGACTGATTAGTACTATATGTCTACATGTTTAATAAATATGTGTGTCAAGGGACATAATAAGACTTCCAGATTACATATTTATGACAATAGATTAAATGTCACGTACAATGTAACTATCTAAGACCCTGAGTTTCCAAGGAATATAAGAACCAGAACTAATAAATATATGAGAGTAAAGACACATCCCATTAGCATCAAGCATCAATGAATCCTAATCTATCGTCCACTGATTAGATTTTTCACTTCGAAACATTGATTCAACCTTCTCCACATCAGATTTTCCTAATATGTCATAATCAAAGAGCAGGCAAATAATTTTATGACAAAATCAGTACGAAGGCTGAGCATTTCTGTTATTAGAGACATAGAGAAAAACAACTTTTTAATGTTGAAGCACCTATTCTTTGGCTCTTTTAATTTTCATACTTTTAACTCCAGGAAAATTAAAAAAAGCCATCAGAAATCCTGCTCTAAAATATTTGAATTACATACTCCTGTCGCAAAACTCGAGATCTATCTAAGAACCAGCTAAATTATATGGATTCACATATTTAATTGTACGAAATACAGATTATAACATCAGAAACAATTAATATGGAACCTCTATGACAAAAAATGTTCACTGATCATGGTATATTTTGAAGTAGCTTATCTCAGTTATTCAGGCTCAAGTACTCTTGTTAGATACAGGTACAAGTCCAAGTGTCAATCACTCAAACTAATATTTTATGTACATATCCATATGTCTGGTCCAAATGAAGTGTTCATACCTATGTCCAAACATCATGCACCCAGCACCAGTATTTGATTAAAATGAGAAAATATGCTCCAAACTCCAAACAATATGAGAACTACAATCTATCTTTCCTAATATTTTTGGAGACAAAAATTGACTGTTGGAAAATAGGATGAGCAATGCAATATTTTTGTTTCCAGGAAAGAAGGAATAAGGATAGGTTTGGGTGATATTTACATATAAATATACAATGATAATCAAAAGTAACGCAGTGCCTCAATTGAAGCGTTTTGCATAGGGGCCAGTGGGCAAGTGGGATTATGGTATATACATTTGCCCTGGAAAATATCAATACCATCATTAGGTTAGACCCTATTTAAAGTGCATTGACAAAGAGCAACTTCACAGAACTTCATGGAGCCATTTTAATTTAGTCTGTCATGATCCAAAGCTAAGATATTGTCTTATAAGAACTCAACCTTCAAAAAAATAGTCATGTTTGGAGAATAGACAGTCGAGATAAATTCCACAAATAGTGCAGATACATATAGGCATGAATTTTCTAATAACCCAAAACCTTAAGATATACTATCTCCGTTTCTTTTTAGTTGACACGTTTCTTTAGTCACGTTTGTCAATGCACAATTCAATCATTAATGTCTTTAATTACTGATAAGCAAAAATTATAAAAAGTTGATATTTTGAAAATATATATCGTGACGAATCTAACAAGATCTCACATGTCTATATTTTTCATTACGTATGATGCACAAAACATGGTCAAAGGGGAGTGTGTGAATAGTGCTAAAATCAAAACGTGTCAACTAAAAAACTGGAGGTGTTATTACTTTGAACATGTCAGACACTACTAGAAATGTCTTAATAATTAACACTAACTACCCAAGAAATAAATAATTGCTCCCTTACATTGAAATAATAGCCCACATTCCATAAGTTATACTATTACCTCTCTAAAATTGGCCACTTTTCATTTGCCTCAACTCATTCAAACTTTCAAAGAATCTTCCAAAGGTTCCAACATTATTAGGAGCATATGATCTTGATAAAGTTAACCCAAATGAGGTTCAGCATTACAACAGATACGAGAAAGACATCAATAATAATAAAGATTTAACGCAGCTCATCTATAATGTATTAGCTGCACCCACAGGCCACAGGGTAAAAGGGAGAAAAAATTTATTTTGTAGGAATTCAAACTTCGAAAAAAGGAAATAAAGTATAGAGTAACTAGAGGTTTTGGGTTTATCTCAAAGGAAGTCTATACACTCATATCAGAAACTTCTGCTGCTTGAACGCCTTAATCCCATAAGTGGGGTCAGCTACATGAACCAACATGAGCACTTCCAGTACTACTCTCAATCATTGTGGCTCATGTCAAGTAATGTGACAAAGTTTTACACTGGCTGGCCTACCGTAAACCAACTAGCGGAGTTTCATATCAGAATGTGGCTCATATCAGAAACATCAACTGATAAATATCATGGCCTTCAGGCGCGACCAGTGAGAATGCTGCCCCCCCCCCCCCCAAACCACAAATCCAGGGCACACCGCCCCTTGAACACTTGTTTGCTAACTGAGTATCGATAGACCGGTCATGGGTCGCCTGAAATTCTTCTAAGCAAATGGCTTACTGAAAGCCAATTAGCCACAAGTTCAAGGTATCCCAACATTAAATATGACCCAAAAAAAAAAAAAAAAAAAAAAAAAAAAAAAAACTAGCATTCAATATTCTGCCATTCCAGAAAGAAACAGCTCAAACAAGTGTGGAAATGAAAAGTAAAAAAAAAAAAAAACTCTCAAAACAGCAGGAAAATAAAAATAACAATAATCATTCTACTCCAAATACAGCAAAAATAACTTACAGAAACAAAATAACCAACACCCACAAATCTAATAACAACAACCAAAACAAACCAAACAAGTAAACAGTCATAACACAAAAATGCTACAGAGTAGAAACCAAAACAAATAAAAACATAAATAAATAAAACTACAGATCCAATTAAGAAATTTTCATTAAGAAAATAAATAAATAAATAAATAAAAGGGAAGAAAGAAATGACCTTTTTAAGAGCAAGAGCAAGGCGTTTGGTATCAACCCTTTTAGTGGGCATTGAATCAAGAAGATCTCTAGCACATTGAAAGGCTTTATTTTGTAATGAAATGGGCATATCAGATGCTCTAATTCGAACATTAAAAAGCTCATGATTTTGATCTTGTTCAACTGATTTCTTCTTCTGTATTAAACTACTTAAAAATTTACTCCTCCTTTCTAATTCTTCTTCTGCATTAGCCATTTGGGTCAACGACAATATACTTAGATTGTGGGTTTGCTTTTAGTGCACTCCATGTGTTCGATAAAATGCGCAAGTGAAAATGATTGAACAGAGCAAGTGTATTTGAGTATTATTTTATTAAAGAGAGTAGGAAGACAAAGTTCAGAAACAGAAGTCTCGATTTCGAATGAATCTCTGGCTTTTGCTTTGGATGTTGTTTTTAGATTGAGTCATTTTCTTTATTGTTTTTTTTTTTAAAAGCAAATTTGGGTTGGGACGAGGGTTTGGTAGTACAAGTAGGAGACAGAAGTTCAATTTGACCACCATGATTTCAGGTACTTTCTACCTTGGACCGAGCTTATTGTCATACTTACAATTTTTATAGCTCTATCTCACTCGTCTTAATTCTAATCTATAGTCCTTCCATTATCCTAAGTCTTAATTATTGTATGATACGACAGGATTGCATATCGTATAGAGCATATGTATTTTGCATGCATATAAGAGGATAATCGGAAATTTGGTAGTACATTTTCTCTCTTTTAATGATACAGTGGTACATTTTTTTGCACTATTATACATATATAATGTATCATTAAATATAAGTTGTCTGAATAGTACTTTTTATGTACTATTATGCATGTAGTGGTACTTTTTGTCATCATATTTTCTACTACAGATTTTTCTCAGATTCCCATTGTTTACCAAAATGTCATCCTATTTGCAAGTGAAATATATAGGGCATATGCGCCAATACTTATTCATACGAGAGCATCAACACTACTCTTGGGCCATATTCGATTAATGTTAACTTGACCAAGACAGGAAAATTTTTGGGCTCGATTTAAATTATTTGTTTGATTTTCCTCTTATGTGGGATGCGACTAAGGTTGTATTTCTTTTTTGTTATTGTCTTGTAATTAATCTTAGCCTTTTATTTTGTATGGTTTAAATTTAATGAGTTTCATGGGTTTTTTCATGTGCTACTGCCTCCTTATAAAAGGAGATATTTTTTGATGTAAAACTTAGACTGGTTTAGATTATTGTAATATGAGAGTTTTTCTCTTTATTGAGTTCTTTGTAATCTCTTCTTTGTGGTAAAATATCAATCTTTTTAAACTTTGTGATTGATTAGATTGAATCCTTTGTTTCATTAGACTTTTATGACTAGTGAATCAAGTTATTTTGCTAGAGAATCTTACTTGGTGCTTGATTATCTTAGCCTAATTCTTAAATCATGATCCAAGATTATATCTTTACCCTCAAATACTCACAAAAAATCATCAAAAATAGATCTTTGTTCTTTTTTGTATCACTATAGGTACGCAAATTTAAGAGAAAATTCCAAAAAATAATAAGGTATGTGAGTAGTTTTGCTTTGATGAAGAGAGAGATAAAGAGTATGAGTTTTACTACCTCCGTTTTTTTTTAGTTAATACTTTTTTACTTTAGCACTATTCATACATTGTGTATTGTGTTTATACGTGATGAAAAAAAAACATATATATATATATATATATATATATATATATATATATATATATATATATATATATATATACTACATCCGTTCTTGAAAGTTCGACTCATTTACTATACATCTAGTCAAAATAAAATAAGTTTGGCCACATATTATGATTTATACAATAGAAATAAATTAATATGAGGGGTCTTATTAGATTTCCCTTATTATAAAATTTTCAAATATCAATTTTTTATGATTTTCACTTATACATAGCCGAAGATATTCATGGTCAAAGATGTTCATTGGAGAACGCGCAAATGCAAAGTGGGTCAAACTTTCGAAGATATATATCAACTTTTTATAATTTTTGCTTATTGGTGTAATACCCCGTATTTGTGAAACATATTTTCTAATTAAATAATTAATTATTATTTTCTAAAAAGGGTATTTTAGTAATTTATTTTACTATTTGAATTTTGGAGCCAAAATGATATTTGAATTTTGGCGCCAAAAGTATTTTAAAACTTAATTATTTTTGGATTTTGAATTATCCATTTATTTTATTTTAAAAATCGAATTATTAATATATATATTTAGAATATTTTAGCTAAGCAAATTTATATTTTCTCATTTAATTTAAAAGGGCCGAATTTCCCTAATTAATTAGCAAGGATTTTCGGATTTTCTAAGTGTAGAAAATCTGATTTTCTTAGTTAATTTAATTAGTGAATAATTGGTATTTTCTAATTAATTATTTTATACAAAATATATTATTTACACAATCATTTTTATTCCTTAAAAACTAGCAAAATAATTGCCTAAATATTTAAAGGGAGGTCTGAAAATATGAGCTTAGGAAAGCTCAAATTTTCGGCCACCATATTGTATTTTGAGCAAAATTATTTTGGTAATTTTTGTATTTTAATTATCTTCCTCAATTCTATTATTTTCCTTAATTCTTATTTTCCATCTCCTAAATATTTGATCATCTTATTTCCCTACCTTAAATCTTTCTTGATTATTCCCCAAGCAAAGTTATTTACCATTTAATATTTCATGATTACATACTTACCTTATTTCTTCATTACTTAATCACCATAACCTAGACTTTCCATAATTCTTTAGCTTTCTTCTCCAAGTAATTTCCTTACAACAATTTACCATAATTTTTTCTACATTCTCCTATCATAATTCTTGCATGAGCTAGCATATAAATACCCTCTCATACCTCTCATATTCTTCACACCAAAAACTCCATTCAATTCTTCTCTCTTACCCTTCTTTTCCCTCAACCTTTTCCTACTTTTCTTCTCCTCTTTTCTAAAAGAAAATCAGCTCGTATATCTTTGGAGCCAATTTTCGGGCACTTCTGTTCGATTTTGGGGTTTTGGTATTTCACAAAAAATTGTTCCTCTCAAAAAATTCCTTGAGGTTAGGCTCAAGAATCACCCAATTCGGAGTTATATCAAAGGAGTTATGGCCTCTACAAATTCTGCCTATTCTTTCCAACGCAAATTCAATTCTCTTTAATCTTATTCCTTTATTTTCTTCATGGTTAGTTTTCTAAAATATAAATACCTATTTCAAAGTTATAATTTTATATTAAAATATTATTTTTAAAAAGACTTTTATAGTCCATGCACATTAGATTTGGGTTTATGTCTAAAGATGTTGTGATAACATTATGGTTATGTTAATTGCAAGGTGTATTCGTGATTGAACTTTAAAAGTGCGAAGTGTTGATTGTGATTTGTAATCAAGGTACGTTTAGGTGGCTAGATACCTTCGAAAGTGATTGGTTTGAATAGCATTTTTTATATGATTTTATTGGTGATTGAATTAAATTGATTTGAATTATGATTTATGAAATAAAGTATGGTTACAGGAATTGATTTTAATATTTGTTATAATAAATGTATTTTTGAAGGATTGATTTTAATATCATGTTTTGAATGGTTTAAAATTATTTATTATGATTAAAGGAACTTGGTTTTAAAAAGTATGTTGGATTGTTTTGAAAGGAATGATGTAATTCCAACAAGTGTATTATTCCGGTAGAGGGTTCAGAATTATTAGAAAGCAAATTCTTCAGTAAGGTCAAGTGATTGGAATGCCTATGTGGAGGCCCTTCCGATAAGTGATATTAATGTACAATTAATATTACAGCTTAATCTTGACTGAACCCCTTCGGGTCGCACCCAATCGAACAACCGATCTGAGACGACGAATCAATCCGAAGGATTTGATGAATCATTAGAGTATTACGAACAAAGACGTCGGATATCGGGCTCAGAGTGTCAAGACCGAGCGTCGCAAAATTCAACAAGAAACAAGTTCGAGCTAGGTCGTAGCCTCGCATTGGCCTAGCCATGCAAGTGCTAGGCTAGCTCGAGCTAGCATGCACATCGTAATACTAGTTGCAAGCCTAGCATGCATTCCGTGCTAGGCCAAGCGTGCTAGCATGGCTGGCATTGCTGGCTGCAAGCATGCTAGCGTGCTAGTGTGCTGGGCCATGCACCCAGTCGCAAGCCTACCACACCTAGCACAAGCATCGCAAGATGCGTGCATGCGTGTGGTGTGGCTGTGCAAGTGTGGCTAGGCGTGCTAGCATAGCAGCGCTAGCCATCGCACCATGCTAGGCATGGGCTAGCACAGCCCGCAAGCATGGTGCGTTGCGTGCTTGCTAGAATGCTAGGCCAAGCAGCCAGCCATCGCTAGCACCAAGCATCGCACATGCCTAGCAGCATGCTACGCACGCAAGTGCTAGGCTGGGCGTGCTTGCTGGCCAAGCACCCAGGCATCGCTGCATGCTGTGCTTGCGTGCCAGCATAGGGGCACCAAGCAGCAGCACGCTATGCGTGCTAGGCCTCACATAGCAGCAGCCCAGCACCTCGCATAGCAGCGCATAGGCAACAACCCAGCATGCGTGGCTTGCTAGCAGCACGCATGCATAGGCGTGCTGGTTGGCTTGCTGTGCATGCGATGCGGGCTGGCTGGCTAGGCCGCCCAGCCTTGGTGCTAGGCGTCTGGTGGCAAGCTGCCAACCAGCCAAGTGGTGGAGTGGTCCGGTTTTGAGTGGGGACCGATTTCAAGGGCCTTGCTTGATGAGGAAGGTTATGGTCCCCCCCCCCCCTTGAAATGGTCCTCACCTAATTCTTCCACTCCCATTGCCACTTCTAGCTTGTTGATTGATGCATTTTATTTTGTTTTTTTATTAAAATAAAATAGAGGAAAATGAAAATCTCCCACATTGATGGGAGAAAGGAGATCAAGTCTCCATTCCCTATAAATATCCAAGTTTTGGGATTTGGGAAGAACACTTGAGTTGAACTAAAAAGGCATCTCCTTAAGAAAAGTGAGAAAACCTTAAGTTCGTAATACTCTAGTTTTATTTGGTCAAGTCCCGACTAACCTTCAGGATTAAGACCGCTCGGGTCGGGTTTGAGGGTACGAACCGTTGGAGACCTTCGCATTTGCGAGGTTCGACTTTTAAAGTAAGAGCTCGGGTTCGAGCGAAGCACGCGTCAAGGGTATGAATGTCTTTTCCCTTTCTCTCTTAATTGTTGTCTATGTTGCATGCTTAGTTGCTTTAATTAGTGGGCGGGTCTTGGGCGGGTTTCTATTTCGCGTAGAGTCGGACTCTACGAAACCCAACAGCGGTATTGGAGCCGCGCTCACTTTAATTTTTGTAACTAATAATTAATTAAGGTGATTTAAAATGGATTTAAATTTCTGGTTTTGCTTTCTAATTAGATTAGAAGCTCATTTTTTAATTAGTTTTAATCTCGTATTTATATTAATTTTGGCTACGAACCCATATTTCGACTCAAAAATAGTGATTTTTTGGGGGAATCGATGTTCTAAATTGTATTTGTCCCTTTTCAAGCCCTGTCCAGAAGCCAAATCCACCCAGAAACATGTTTTTTGAGGGGCCGGGTTTTTCGTTTTTGACGAAAAATTTTAAATCTTTAAACCTTGATTAATTATGGCATGTTAAAGGTAGATTAAATGTATGGTTGCATCACTAATCTACTGCAATTATAAACCTTGTTAAGCATGTTTATGAAGTCATAATTGGTGCTTAATTTGGTGAGTTCATTTTTCACAGAAACTTGAAATTTTCACATTTTTGCAAATAAATTGCTTCAAGTGTGAATGTTT